TTGCTTTTGTGTTACCTGGAAGGAATCACAGAACATGATAAAAAAAGCCCTACTGTTTGGTTTTTTCATTGCGCATTTATTAGGCATTACCAATTACTCTTTCAGCCAATCTCATCATATTGATGTTTTTAAATCTTCCTATTCTAAAGATTTGATAAATTCTTACAACTATGCGATTGTTACAAGAGAAGCGTAGTTGTGATATACCTACATATTGGTAGTAATAATAGAAGTAATGATAACACCCACAAAAAATACCCTGCACTATGATGAACATATGCACATGAATACCTTAGAAATGACTTTAATTTTATGCTGTAATATCTCCTGATGTTGTAATACATGTTCTCTTACTCCACCACAGTGCACTTACTGAGAAAATTGTGCGAGTACTTCCCAGAATGAAATGTGCGCACAGATTGGAACCTCATCAGATTCAGGGTTTGGATTTCATTCACATTTATCCAACTGTTCAGGTTAATGACACATAATTTAAATCTATACCACAACTGTACTGTGAAATTTTTTTATTGATTCTTCAAATGCTATAATTTTTCCTGTTAACATTTTTTTATTTCTGGATCAAATATTTTGAACAAATATCAGGAAAATCAATGAGTTAAGAAGGTTTAAATTGAATTGAAAATTAAACAATTTCAATAATACAAGGTTGTTACTCTCCATCGCTGTCTATAGATGGCAATATATATTAATATTTCTTTTTGCCATTATCACTTTCAGTGGCTGGTTAAGAAAGCTATAGAGACCAGAGAAGAGTTGGGTGATTATAACAGAGCCTTTTCTGTATCTCAGTTCAACAAACATCACAGTACTCCACAGGTAAGACATTAGGGTTTACCGTAAAATTCCTAATTGAGGCCGCAGCTTTAATTAAAATTCATTTTTTCAATGGACGAATTCAGATGCGTGAAGTCTTGGTGCGGCTTTAATTAGAGTATTCACTTCGGTAACAGTGGGAATTTTTTTCCAAAAACAAAGGCCAGAAGGGATAATGATATGCTAATGAGATGCACGACACTCGATTGCAACTTTGTTGCGATTCTAAGGCACTTTCAGATTTTTACACACAGACAAACTTGTACACAAACGAAATTTCACACTGTATAACATACTGCACAATAAATAATATCTACAAATAGATTTGTATGCATTTGCAGATTACAATACTGTATACTACAATCTCTTGAATAGACTAATTCGTTAGCACCGGTCACTCTTTTAGTAACCGTGCAGACAGCCGCCTGACACAGTCGATTGCGGCATGTTCGACTTCCGGCAGAGTGACAGTACATTCCATGTTTAATCTAGACATCGAGGAAATTAAAATAAAAAAAGTCAATCAAAAAAAAAAAAAATGATAACGAAAAAAATACTCAGTATATTATTTAGTATATTATTTTACGGTAATACTGTTAAGTTAAGTTGTTGTGTGTCCTTGTCATGTGGTCTCTGGCTCTGTTCAAAATTGAAGACATACGGAAAGTTTTTTCTGCAATGGGCCATTCCAGTTTATATAGTTTTGGATTTCCATTACTGTATGGTGAATGGTGATTTGAAAATAAAACTTTGTATGACTTATACACCCATGGAAATTATACCCTGTATGAAGTAAACACACAAGCTCATTAACGGGAGGGGGGGGGCAGATATAAACTGGAATGGCCCAATAGTGTCACTATAGTAGTCTTGTTGGTATATATTGGTATTTTATATTGCTTACAAGTATGAAATTAATACATGTTTTTTGAAAGTGTAGAACTGTGGCAATTTACTCATAATGGGTACCATTATTCTCATGTCAAAATTAGGATGTTGTCTTCCATATATCATAAATGATCATTTTCTTCCTAGAGTTCTTTGCGGTTAGAACACCAAAAGTATCTCTGCCACCATACACATTACTATTTTGTGATGAGATGCCACTATTCTTGACATGTTTATTTATTAGAGGGCTCTCGTGCTGATTTCTTCTCACTGGTAAACACGTCTTAAAACAGCCATAATCTACAAACATTGTGTACGTTTTCATTGGTTCGAAAATCGAATATCAACATGGATATGTTTTGGTGGACATCTTTAAAAGTAGCACCACTGTGACGCATCGACCAATCAATGACGATCGCTTAGTAACAGAGATATATTTGTAAAAATAGAACTCTGTGTGGGAGATTCGTAAATGACACGATTGTAATGCCAGTAGTCTATTGATCTCTACAAATTTGGAGACTGCGCCCTCTTGTGTTGACATAGAGTAGAAGGAGAATTATTTGCTCAGTGATTTAAAATGATACTGACTTAATTAATAACTTATAATAATAAATTAAAAAAACAAGCAATTTTGCTCAATGAAAAGGACTGAAACAGTCTTATATTATTGTTGTTACAAATTGACATTTAATAAGTTTGTACCATGAGAAGTTCTCTCCCATAAGGCATTGCAAATAAATTCTCAGTCATGAAAAATTAAGACTGTTAAATTCGCAAAAGTTGTATAAAAAAATATATTACAGTTAACAAAATAAATGTAATTGTTGTTTTATTTCAAGGACATTGAGTTTGAAAAGCAGAAATCCGAATGTTTTGGTTCTATTAGAGGTGTTAAAGATTGCTACAAACCGAGGAGACGATATCGTAGATCTCACGAATTGAAAAGTCACCAAGAAGAACTAAGAGTGCAGTCTACACTGTTAGAGTATGGCAGGTATGCTTTCAGAGATTGTACAAAAGTCAATTCATGTTTTAGGACACCAGTCAAATGTCACAGTCAATGTGCTACACCATGGGTGAAATGTCATGTATACAATGTATGTAAAATTAATTGTTTGATGACTCAAAATTTGAATACACACTGCAGCACAACTGTTAGCAGATGCACAAAATATTATCTTCCAATTAAATTAAGACAGTGTGCAGTCTATACCATTCCCAACTGAGTGAACATTTTTTATTTTTAAAGTAATTTTATTTCATTTCAAAATTACAAATACACAGTCTAGAAAAAAACCCCAAAAAACTAGAAAAAGTTTGAAACATTTTATGTGAAAATATCTCTCTATTGCGTTACCACAACTGTTGATCATTTGCTACTGAGCAGTGCATTTGTGTTTGTTTGCTTGTAAACATTTGTTTAGCTAATTAATGATTTGCTCAAATCATTTGTAATTTTAATTAATGAAGATTTATATGTGACCTGAAAACATGAATTATATAATTATAATAATGCATTCAAAATGTTGGTTAGCATGTTTTTTTTTATTTTTATGTTAATTGACTATAAAATAAAACTTACATGTACTAATTGATATCCAGGAAATTGGGTCACTTGCAGTCCGCAAAGGCTCAAAAAGCTGATGAAACTGATGGTACAAAGAAAGCAATATCTGATGCAATGGACAAAGGTGATGACCTCGCTAACTGGATGGCTGATGAGAAACGAATCAAAGATCTAATGAAAGGCATGTCAATTTCTGAGGATGTAAGTGGACACTGATCAATAATGTTTGTAGCATGATTTTATTTTGCTAAGCATTCCTTAACCAAACATGTATACCCCAGGATTGTGTCAATCATAAATCAAATAACATTCATCATTGTTAGTGAACTAGACTAGACATATTTTGTTGTAAATCAAAAAAAAAAAACCTTCAAAGTAAACATCAATTTGGCTTTGTGATTCACCTACAGTGAGTCAGTGAGTGATGAGTCATAGTAACGAGTCAGTGAGGAATGAGTCACAGTAAGTGATGAGTCACATTAAGTTATGGATTGGTGAGTCACAGCGAGTGATGAATCACAGCGAGTGATGAATCACAGTGAGTGATGAATCACAGTAAGTTAGTTATTGGTGAGTCACAGTAAGTGATGAGTCACAGTAAGTTAGTGATTGGTGAGTCACAGTAAGTGATGAGTCACATTAAGTTAGGGATTGGTGAGTCACAGTAAGTGATGAGTCACAGTAAGTGACGAGTCACAGTAAGTTGGTGATTGGTGAGTCACAGTGAGTAATGAGTCACAGTAAGTGATGAGTCACATTAAGTTAGGGATTGGTGAGTCACAGTAAGTAATGAGTCACAGTAAGTGATGAGTCACAGTAAGTTAGTGATTGGTGAGTCACAGTGAGTGATGAGTCACAGTAAGTGGTGAGTCACATTAAGTTAGGGATTGGTGAGTCACAGTAAGTAATGAGTCACAGTAAGTGATGAGTCGCAGTAAGTGATGAGTCGCAGTAAGTGGTGAGTCATATTAAGTGGTGAGTCACAGTAAGTAATGAGTCACAGTAAGTAATGAGTCACAGTAAGTGATGAGTCACATTAAGTCAGGGATTGGTGAGTCACAGTGAGTGATGAATCACAGTGAGTGATAAGTCAAAGTAAGTTAGTGATTGGTGAGTCACAGTGAGTGATGAGTCACAGTAAGTGGTGAGTCACATTAAGTTAGGGATTGGTGAGACACAGTGAGTGATGAGTCACAGTAAGTTAATGATTGGTGAGTCACAGTGAGTGATGAATCACAGTAAGTTAGTTATTGGTGAGTCACAGTGAGTGATGAGTCACAGTAAGTTAGGGATTGTTGAGTCACAGTGAGTGATGAATCACAGTGAGTGATGAGTCACAGTAAGTTAGTGATTGCTGAGTCACTGTGAGTGATGAGTCACAGTAAGTGGTGAGTCACATTAAGTTAGGGATTGTTGAGTCACAGTGAGTGTTGAATCCCAGTGAGTGATGAATCACAGTAAGTTAGTTATTGGTGAGTCACAGTGAGTGATGAGTCACAGTAAGTGATGAGTCACATTAAGTTAGGGATTGTTGAGTCACAGTGAGTGATGAATCCCAGTGAGTGATGAGTCACAGTAAGTGGTGAGTCACATTAAGTTAGGGATTGTTGAGTCACAGTGAGTAATGAGTCACAGTAAGTTAGTGATTGGCGAGTCACAGTGAGTGATGAGTCACAGTAAGTGGTGAGTCACATTAAGTTAGAGATTGTTGAGTCACAGTGAGTGATGAATCACAGTGAGTGATGAGTTACAGTAAGTTAGTGATTGGTGAATCACAGTGAGAGACGAGTCACAGTAAGTGGTGAGTCACATTAAGTTAGGGATTGTTGAGTCACAGTGAGTGATGAATCCCAGTGAGTGATGAATCACAGTAAGTTAGTTATTGGTGAGTCACAGTAAGTGATGAGTCACAGTAAGTTAGTGATTGGTGAGTCACAGTAAGTGATGAGTCACATTAAGTTAGGGATTGGTGAGTCACAGTAAGTGGTGAGTCACAGTAAGTAATGAGTCACAGTGAGTAATGAGTTACAGTAAGTGGTGAGTCACATTAAGTTAGGGATTGGTGAGTCACAGTGAGTGATGAGTCACAGTAAGTGGTGAGTCACAGTAAGTAATGAGTCACAGTAAGTAATGAGTCACAGTGAGTAATGAGTTACAGTAAGTGGTGAGTCACATTAAGTTAGGGATTGGTGAGTCACAGTGAGTGATGAGTCACAGTAAGTGGTGAGTCACAGTAAGTAATGAGTCACAGTAAGTGATGAGTCACATTAAGTTAGTGATTGGTGAGTCACAGTGAGTGATGAATCACAGTAAGTGGTGAGTCACATTAAGTCAGGGATTGGTGAGTCACAGTGAGTGATGAATTACAGTGAGTGATAAGTCACATTAAGTTAGGGATTGGTGAGTCACAGTGAGTGATGAGTCACAGTAAGTTAATGATTGGTGAGTCACAGTGAGTGATGAATCACAGTAAGTTAGTTATTGGTGAGTCACAGTGAGTGATGAGTCACATTAAGTTAGGGATTGTTGAGTCACAGTGAGTGTTGAATCCCAGTGTGTGATGAATCCCAGTGAGTGATGAATCCCAGTGAGTGATGAGTCACAGTAAGTGGTGAGTCACATTAAGTTAGGGATTGTTGAGTCACAGTGAGTGATGAGTCACAGTAAGTTAGTGATTGGTGAGTCACAGTGAGTGATGAGTCACAGTAAGTGGCGAGTCACAGTAAGTGGC